TATAGGCAACCAAAATTACACGACAATTCTTTAAAAATAGCTCATATGTTGGCACGTGTTAATATTCCTATTTCCTCCACTTCATTGCCAATTAACTGATATGCATTGTTCCACAGTTATCTATGATTTTTAGTGGTATTGGGAATTTATTGTGAATAAGACTCAAGATGGCGTTTTCGCAGGATAGAAGAGTATCTATGGTTGGTTTTATACCAAGAAAGGACAGTACCTAAAACATCAACTCGCAGAATTGTCTACCGGCTCTATAGAAAACCAAAAGTACGTACCACGATTACTAGAAAAATACCGGTATGGATCATAAACATAAACAAAATGACGTTGTTGGCCCGAATCCTATACTTATAGCATTGAACATATGTTTTGTCAGTTCCATTTAAGCAATGTTAAATTATGTTTATTTTCGGGCCAAAAACGTCATTTGTTTATGTTTATGATCCATACCGGTATTTTTCTAGTAATCGTGGTACGTACCTTCAATACATACTCTATCTGAGCTTACGAAAACACCATGTTTATGTTTATGGAACTATATATATTTAGCAACGCATATAAGCTGATAAGCGATGAAGTAAAGAAACCAGGGATACCAACATGTTGGTTTTTTTAATTAAAAAGTGCCTCGTGGTAGTTGTAATTATTTGGGTTGCGTTAAAAAAACACATCCGGTAAAGGTATTGTGTCTATTGATACCTTTTATATATAATGATATTTTTTGTGTATATTATATTATTCATAATTTTTATATTATACATTTATCACATTATATATTAAAATATTTATTTGTATGATCTCAAACCAACCTCGTATAGAAAACTGACATGATTTTAATTCTCAAATATATAAAACTGTAAAGGTTCCAACGTACGGATGGTATAGAGTATAATTACATAAACATATTTAAAAAGTCAAATTATTTCAGATGTATGAAGAACACAAAATGCTTGAAACACCAAATATTATTAAATAAAGATATATTGTTTTCTCATTTTTGACCCTCAAAACACAAAATTTTCTAATTTCTCTCTATACCATTTTAAAGAGCGTAAAAAACAAATAATTTAGTTTACCAAAGTGTTTTTGTACGGTTATTGGTTACAGGGAAAATATAAAATTTGCAAATTCAAAATTCCCACGTTTTTCTTATAGAGAATATTGTAAAATGTTGTAGTTTGCTTATTAAGGAAATATTTTGATCAAACTTGGCAAATTTATTTATCTTATACTGTATTAAGCTACTAATATTTTACAAAAAAAAAAAAAAAACTTTTTAATAGCCTCCCAGTAGCAGGAAACCTAGATACTCGTTAATCCTAATGTTATTTAAATATATTGAATTCAAAATCAAATCAGGCAAATGGAAATTCGCCTAGTCAGCAGGTTTGCTGTGGTGGGGGTATTTATTCGTGTAAAATGTTTACCTATTTAAATATTAATAAAACCTATTTGACTAACGTTTGTGTATTGTGTAAATACTCTGCAATGGTATCGTGTTATAGATGGCAAAGAACTATATGTATGCAACATTGTTCTTTTGACCATTTCATATATGTATACAGTATACACCGATATTACTAACGTTAAACATTTTTAACGTTATAAGACAATAAATAGGGCAAAATTAAACTAAGTCGATATTTCAATGCGGACGTTTTAATTTTTAAGTAGTTTAAAACATGATTAATTGTTTAGTATAAAACGTTGCATTCGTTTTGACAAAACCACTCAACATGTTAGTAGGAAGTTTTAGAAATTTTATAATGCTACCTACCAACAATAAAAAAAATTAAAATTATAATCTGATTAAATATACTTAAATCCCTAACACCAGATTAAAACTAGTACAACAATGTTTTAATTATTTAAAACAAAATATTACTTCTGAAATAATTAATCCTCTCAACATCTTTGTGTGTTTTGATGAGCATGGATTTAACATAATTTCCTTCCGGAAATAGCTACAGACGATCTCATGAATGTATCCGTCCTCCGTCCGGTACAAGTTAAGTGCGTTGATGCTTACCCCTTATTTCTTGTTATTTCATATTCTTGCATATTTATCACTCTGTAAAACAATATATCTATAAACAATTTAACATTCCTTGATATAATGAACAAAGATTAAAGTACACGATTAAATATTTTAGTAACATGTTAAAATCGACTTCTTGATTAAAATTAATAACCCTGCCGGAACAACTTTCGAATTTCGATTTCCATGATTTGATTTACACTAAAATATTTTCTTAAGAATGTAGTACTGTATTTATATCATTTTAAATAAAATTAAGTTTAAAAGTAAGTAGATTTACTGCTACAGGGAAGATAGTAAGTGTGTTTTGATAAAATGTTAATAGGTCAGAATCAAATGACTAAATTTGCCAAAATTATGAAAATATATCCAAAAACAACTACCAGAGCTTACTTATTCTCCAAAGAAATAACATGTACATTTTACACGTTTTTATCTTTTATCGTCGTACCATACCACTTTGATATAATAAATTATTTTTTTAATCTCTACAAAATGTTTTAGATAGAAATTGCAAAGTTTTTGTTTTGAGGGTCGAAAATGGGAAAACCCCAATTCATTCCAATGAGATCCTATCCCTATAGACCAATTATGCTGGTTCGTGAACTTTTTTCAAGTAAATGTAGGTTCGCAAGTTTGTAATCCGCTCATAAAAAAATCATAAAAACTGGATTATTTTACTTGAGTCGAGTTATTGTGCTAACGGACACATAGCTTCGTTAAATCTTTTCGTCAGAATGTCTGACAAGCGGGTTCGGGTTCAATACATAAATATATATGAATATGAACAAAAGGTATTTTTGACCTCTGGGCACCTGAAAACAACAGAGAATGTTGTACGAGGTCCATAGGTCTTACAATGAGACCTATAAGGTAACAGCTTCCAAATACGTACAGTAAATTAGCTAAAAACCTTTCAAGCTACTAATCACGAATATTAGAACAGAAACTTTACGGGCCATAAACATAATCAAATGAAATTTCACTGGCCCGAAAGTAAATATATTTTTATTAATATTCAAATATAACTTGATTTATACTAGATTTTTTACTAGATTTGATATATTACTAGATTTTTTAGTGTGCTGCCAACTACTTTGTTTTAAGTTAAAGTGCCTGCTACAAACCACCGTAGAAATATAGTATATTAAGAAAACTTTGTTAAAAAAAAGAGAAAAAAAAGTAAACTATGTGTTTGTTAGCCTTATATTGTATCAATTGGACCTCACCGACAAGTTTTTTTTTTAAACTTGGTGAGGCCAAGCTGTTGTAATTTCCATAATAAATATATTTGAATTTGAATTTGAACTATCAAAAACTTCCAAATCAGCTGTTGCGACTATTACATTCAAGCCAGCGACGTCATTTTTTATGTTCATGATCCATGTACAGTTTCTGTTCTAATTCGTGCTACCAACAAAATATGTAGAATTATTGAACATAAAAAGACGAATCGTATTTTACAAAAGGTTGACAAGTCTACTTGCAGTTTTCAAATTTAATGGAATCAATTTCAAGTAAAAAGGAAACCGTACAATGCTCTTACAATACAAACCGTTATAAGGAAATCGTATACAAGGGACTTTTACAGCCTAATAATGCTATTTTGAACGAATTCAGTAAGTAAAATGTATTAAATAAGTTATTGTCAATAATATTTAGTCAATAATAAATATTTAAATGGCACGTTGATTTATTAAAGTATTCTTAAATTAAGATATCGACGAACATCCGATCATATTTCTGATATTGTTTCTGTAATAGGTATAACTTGATGCCTGGGCGATATTGGAAAATTGCGGTTAAATCGAATGGAATAATCCTCAGAAAGAATGTATGAAAACATTGGATATCACAGAATCTAACAGCTGTCTTATATTTCATTTAAACCATCTAAACCTTGAACACTGTCAAATAATTATTAAAATTATCGAATCAGTGTTTAATTTTAGAACCATAATAGTTTTGTAATGTATCACGGATTCACGGAAGGATAAATAAGTTTATATTCAATTATTAAGCAATAGTATCACACACATCAATTAACAGTTAAATTCACACATAAACCATTATAGACCCGTTATATTTTAGATTTTAATAACAGTAGGCCTATACTTGTGATATTAAACTAAATTATTAAATGATATAAGTTTTCAAAATAATTAAAGGTATTTTGTTGATAGCCGCAAAAGATATTTCAATAAGAGTTTGGAATGTTTTATCATTATAAACAAAAATAAATTAAGTGTGAAATAAAAACTTTATTTAGACTTCTAGCTTTATACGCATATTCTCTTATATCTTATAAGGTAAATTGTTTATGACATGTTTTAAACGTCCTTGTTTGTTTCAGTTTGATTATATTTAGAAAAACCGGTAATTTCATTATAAAAGTTGAATTCAAAGAGTGTACAACTCTTGACGGTCCTAGAATTTCCTCATTTTGTTAAGAGATCTCTGTAATGATTGTCGATATCATCTTACCATTGTGTGCTTTCAAAGTATGATTACCCCTTCTCTCATCAATACTTTATTATTGTTTTGGGCTTATAAGTATTAGTGTATGGTCTATATTTAGGGGCAAATATCGGGTTTCATAATTCTAAAAAATTCAGTTTCAAAGTTGTTATAGCAATTAAAACCCTCGGTAGATCGAAGTTAACGCTATTTGTAACTGAATTAGCCACCCATAAATACACGAGGAAGTCAAGCTACAAATACACTTTCATGTATCATCAGAATGGCCGAAGACAATTCCAATGGTGATATGCGGAAGTTAGGTACAGTCCAGTGCTCGGTACGGTTGAAAGAGCAGGACGGTGAAGTAAGCAAAAAAATGGACTCATCACAACACAAACACTGTTGATCCTGTGGTCCTGGACGTCCTTGTAGTGGAAGGGGCAGGACGAAGTGTGTACACAAGAAGGAGGCGTCGGTGGTATTGCCAGTACAACCTTCTTCGCGCCGCGACTAGTGTTTGTGTGCCTTCCTAGGGTTCTGCTCCCGAGTAAGATAGTGTAGATAGTATAACCATAATACTACTTATTAGGTTATACATAGAACTAAATCTCTTCCAATACAGTATCACTCCTTAGTATATACATAATACTTAGCATATACATAATAGTATCAACCCTTGCCATATATATACGACCACCCTTTCGTACATACATAGGCTCTCTCATGTAATTGAACAGAGGACCCCTTAGTGTTCTAGGTACCCCTATTTAAAATGTACCTCTTGGATACATGTTGCCCCTTGATATTTTAAAGCCCAGTAATCCCTTACAGGTTGTAAAATGCACAAACACATAACATACACCAGATTCTCCCTTTGATAAATATATAGAATATTTATCTTTTAGCATATTCACAGTACGTCTTAGTACTAGTACATAGTACTACTGTACTCTTCTTATATACATGTTGCTCTTATATGCTTAAAAATTCCCACCATTCAGCAAATTCATAGTACCAACTCTTAATACTATCCATACTACCCCTTAGTTCGATTTTTTATACAAACTCCCCTCTTACTCATTCAGTTAACTCTTTAAAATACGTTACTAAAATAATCTGGATTTGTTTAGATTTGGTTTCTATATCAGTATTTTATAGGTTTTTTACGAGATGGCATACACATGTTTCAATTCTAATAGAAAATTATTATCTGCAGAGCCAAGATATAAATTATAAATAATAAACATTACTGCTTTTCAATCCCAGGAAGTAAAAATAAAATATAACTTTTAACGATTGTAAAACTCTCTCAAAATTAGTCAATGAAACATAAACTACTTGTTCATCAAGACGTATGATTGTTCACTTACTTTAGATTTAAGATTAACCATGTTAATAAACGTTTAACAAATGCAAGCATATACTCTTGGAATATTAAACTCCTCAGAAAGTATAAACAAACTTTTCTTCTTAACGAGCCCTCGACCGTATCTTTGAACCTTTTCAAAACACCCCAATCTGTAGAAACACTAGTTATACTTCTAGTTTTTATTATTTTCCTGTTTTTATGGGTATTCTCAAAAGATTTGTCAATATATATATATTTACGGGAATTCTGAGAAACCTCAATATCCGGTGTTTTGTTATTTCAAGCGAAATGACGTTTGGTGAAGCGTCAGATTTACTATTCAGAAATCCAAAATAGAAACTCTTTGTAACCACGTGTTTGTTTTAAACAGCAACAGTTTGACGTGTGTATTTTTCAATACGAATAATCCTAAATTAGAATTGGTTCGCCATACTCAAATTAAAACACCTTCTATTACCATTCCGCTGCACAGTTAATTCATATCGTGCCATGGGATTGTTACTGAATGCTATCCAATAAATTTAACATATATTTACTGCAACATAGTTTAGTTATTCGGCATATTACTGGCTTTGTGTGTAGGCAAGCATAGTTTGTTCTTTCATTCTAAATATGAAATTACGGGTAATAATAAGATTGATATAATAACTTGTTTTCTCACCAACACAAAGCAAGCTGTCAAGTTAAGTGATGTCCTTGGATAGAGTTGCTTATGAGCTTAGACAATTCACGTAGTTAATACCGTCATGAAAATTATTCCTACTAATATATTGAATAATACAGATATATATCTGGACATATCATAAACTAATTAATACACAGTTCATTCCACACAGTTAATACCACGATAGATTAATTAACTGATGTCTCATTGTTATGGAAATCAATATTGTCAAAATACTCTGATCTGATTTTACAAAGATCCTAAAAGTTCGATTATAAACTCGATTATAAAAGTTCTGGGCTTAAATTGAATGTCCAGCACAGTTGAGATGTATTACAACGAGTTTGGAAAAATTCGTTTTAACCCCTACGTATTTGTCCTCGGAAGTTTTGGTTGAACAAACTTTCATACTTCTGTTTCTCTTTATTGTGACATACATCGTGACAAATTAAAAGTTTTATATTAGATACAACAAGATATCTTGCGACACTAATCGATGTAATTTATCTAGTACAATAATATTCAACAACATGTAAAATGAAGTAAACAAATTTATGCAATGGCCAAACACAGAGTTTCCTGGAGCTATCTGAAACGTTAAAAATAATTGTTCCATAGGTCGAGGCAAAAATACTTTACAATATAAACATGGTTCTCCTTGTGTTGGTCTGGGTGTGTTTTTTTTTATTATTTGATCACCCCAGATTTTATTTATGATAGAAAATTTAAATTTAGTTGTTCGGTATTCATATTTTTAGAGTATTTAGAAATTAATCATTATGTTAATTAAGTCACTGGTTAATTAATCATGCTAATGTGTATATAAATCACCACATTTATTGTAATATTATTTAGTCTCAGTAACAATTTATTGTAAATAGACTCCCGCTTTCAATATTCAAATGAGATTGCTAAGCCTGCTCGAATTTCCCGCCACAGTAAGGCCTATTTTCCTGTACTACATACCCATGAATCACCTGACGCCGTGTTTGCTTCAATCGCATTTCCTATTGGCCATCGAATTCCTAGACCCCTCTAAACCGCAATTGCATTTTTCAAAGTGTGAAGCCGGCGATCGGCGTCTGTCTGTCCACGGTCGGCGTCCATAACTCACGGTGTATTCCGTTTCTCGTATCTCGGGACATTAATTGCCCATTTTACCTCCCTTAAACGTATTTTTAGGCTATAGATTAATTATATCTGGCCTCCCTCTCCTCTATAGTACATTTAACTATATATACATTTTAATTTCCCCCTTTTGTTTGTGATTAAATTACTTAAATTGTGATCTAGTGCTTTCAGACTCTTTAAACCTCAAGACAGTGTGTGCGCGTCCGTGTATTACTTCTAGACTTTCCGTACGTTTTCACCGCGACTTCCGCGTATTAGTGAGCTCTTTGTGATTATGAACTTGGGTGCGTTGCGTTCTCCAAAATTCTACAAAACAGAAGCACTCGGTCTAAGGACTCCGCCATCCGCCATCGCTCCACCATAGACGACGCCGCTGCCATACTCTCCACCTTTGGATAATTGGACTCAAGGTACAACCTTAAAGTTTTGTGTGTGTTTTAATTAGACTCTAAAACTAATCTCATTTGCCCCTCACAAGACATTTTATTCCATATCGGGACCTCAGTGCCCTTCAAATTGCAGATTCGCCATTTTCTCTAATTTAATTATTTTTCTCTTGAACTATTAATTAGTTCTGGTCCTTCGAGTTATTAATTATTTTCATTTTCACCCATTACGCCCCCAACATTTGGTCCTTCGAGCCGGATTCATTGTCTAAAGTCCTGTGGTAATTAATTTCAGCCAATTTTCATCATCAACCATATTTTTAGCGATCTGCAATTTTCAATTTTCGCCATATTGGTAAAATATCGGCTCGCGTTCGTTCCGTTCGTGGGCGTGGTTTAGCAATCTCTCTCCACTCGCGCGTCTGCGCAGGTCACAATCATGTACAATTTGCTGTTCTCTCTAGTAGTAGACAATTTTTCCCTACTTGGCTTTTTTATCCCGAAAACGGGATTTAGTTTTAGTTGCGGGATTTAGTCGCGTGCAGACGGCCGACACTAGTAGCAGACGCATATCTCACACTCACTGTACAGCGTTTGTTGTTGTTTACATTTTCTCATTTAAGGTGTATTGTGTAATAAGGTTGATTGATATTATTAATAACCAACTATTAGGTTATTATTAGGTATTTACTATTATTCTTTGAATCAATATTGCTCTTTTGAATATCATACTAAATAAACAATAATTTGTCATTGTTATTTAACATTGTTTATGCTTTCTGAATTTTGATTTTAAATGAAGTAAAGTTAAATTAGTTCATCTCTGTAATTTTGGTTGACAAACGTGCGATATTATATTTAAGGTAATTTTATCTTGTCAATTAACATTTTAATAAATAGTTCAAAATAACCGTTTTTACTGGTTCTTATTACTAGTGTTGTACATATAAACAAAACTGTTAGCTAGCGTATTTGTATTGTGATTCATATTTCATTGATGGTTATAATTTTATGTTCCTTTCTCATTTATTAGGGTAATAACTTACTCTTTATGTTGCAATTCTTGTTTACTAAGGATTATTCTACACTGTTTCATTAATGAGGCCTACTCTCATTAAACTTATTTAGATCCATTTATTATTTTTGTAAATAACGGTGAACTTTCATGTGACTCATTCATTTGTTCTATCATATCTCTTGTTTTATTGTGCATTATTATTACCGTACTTGAATACTTTCAACTAAGCTCAATTGTTGATTTATGGTTTGAAAATCGAATTAAACCTGCCACACTCATTTAAAAATATTTTATTGCTATTTAACGTGTTGATAACTTAGTGTTTTTCACTATTTGCCTCAATTAAGCTACAAAGTAGGTGGATATATGTTTTAGATATTTATAATATTTTATCTCTATATTATTCAGCGGACAATTAATTACTACATTGTTAAGCTAATACCATTCATAGGCCTAGCTACAAGCCTTTTGTGTACCCATAACTTCCATTTTCGTGTGAATACTTTCAAGTGAACACTTCACAATGCCTCCTAAAGCATCTGATTTTAAGTCCGCAATCTACACCCGTTCTACGGCGCTGATTAAATCACGTTTTGAAAAACTTAAGGCTACAGTAGATGAATTATCAACTCAAATCGACCCTCTAACACCATTACAACTTAAGAAATTATCCGCTTACGCGTTGGAAATAAAAAAGAAACGCAGTGAATTTGAAAATAACCTTCAACGTGCCTTCGTTCTGGAAGATGAAGGGATCGATGATAAGACTCTTTCCAATGATCAAGATGCTATTGAAGACATGTTCTCTCACATTCAAGCTACGATTGAAACTCTGGTTCCCTCAGAACCACCAAAAACCCCTTCCGCGTTCAGTGAATCGTTTTCTGTTTCAGAAACTCATCCAAGCTCACAAGTACGATTACCTAAACTGGACTTACAAAAATTCTCTGGCGATCCATTAACGTGGACAAGTTTTATC